TCCGTCCACTCCGTTCACTCCGTCACTCCGTCACTCCGTCACTCCGTTCACTCCGTCACTCCGCTCACTCCGTCACTCCGTTCACTCCGTTCACTCTGTGCCTCCGTCCGTCTGCCGGCCCGTCGAAATGTCTTCACCGTCCGTGTGGGTGGGCGGGCGGGCGAGCGAGTGGGCGAGCGAGTGAGTGGGTGGGTGGGTGAGTGGGTGGGTGGGCAAGCGAGCGGGTGGGCGGGCGGGCGAGTGGGTGGACGAGAGGGTGGGTGGGCGAGTGAGAGGGAGGGTGAGTGAGTGGGTGGGTGTGTGGGCGAGTGGGTGGGCGAGTGTGTGGGCGAGTGGGTGGGCGAGTGAACGAGTGAGTGAGTGGGTGGGTGAGAGGGAGGGTGTGTGGGTGGGCTAGTGAGAGGGAGGGTGAGAGGGAGGGTGAGTGTGTGAGCGAGCGAGCGAGCGAGTGGGTGTGTGGGCGAGCGTGTGGGTGTGTGGGCGAGCGTGTGGGTGTGTGGGCGAGCGTGTGGGTGTGTGGGCGAGTGGGTGGGCGAGTGAGAGGGAGGGTGAGTAGGTGGGCGAGCGAGTGGGTGGGTGGGCGAGCGAGTGGGCGAGTGGGTGGGCGAGTGAACAAGTGAGTGGGTGGGTGGGCGAGAGGGTGGGTGTGTGGGTGAGCGAGTGAGCGTGTGGGTGTGTGGGTGAGCGTGTGAGCGAGTGAGCTGTGTGGGCGAGCGTGTGGGTGAGCGAGTGAGCTGTGTGTGTGAGCGTGTGGGTGAGCGAGTGAGCTGTGTGTGTGAGCGTGTGGGTGAGCGAGTGAGCCAGTGAGCTGTGTGTGTGAGCGTGTGGGTGAGCGTGTGGGTGAGCGTGTGAGCGAGTGAGCTGTGTGTGTGAGCGTGTGGGCGAGCGAGTGAGCTGTGTGTGTGAGCGAGTGAGCGTGTGGGTGAGCGAGTGAGCTGTGTGGGTGAGCGTGTGGGTGAGCGAGTGAGCGTGTGGGTGAGCGAGTGAGCGTGTGGGTGAGCGAGTGAGCGTGTGGATGAGCGTGTGGGTGAGCGAGTGAGCTGTGTGGGTGAGCGTGTGGGTGAGCGAGTGAGCTGTGTGGGTGAGCGTGTGGGTGAGCGAGTGAGCGTGTGGGTGAGCGAGTGAGCGTGTGGGTGAGCGAGTGAGCGAGTGAGCTGTGTGGGTGAGCGTGTGAGCGAGTGAGCTGTGTGTGTGAGCGTGTGGGTGAGCGAGTGAGCTGTGTGTGTGAGCTCTGTGTGTGAGCGAGTGAGCTGTGTGGGTGAGTGTGTGAGCGAGTGAGCTGTGTGGGTGAGCGTGTGGGTGAGTGTGTGAGCGAGTGAGCTGTGTGCTCTCTGTGCGTGTGCTGTAGGGGACTCGGTTCTGCTGATGCGGCAGTATTTTGCGAGGTTTGGAGACAAACCTTGCTGCTTCTCAGACCTACGCCCCTACCTGCACCTCATCCCTCACCACGACGCACAGCAGGTGAGCGAGCGGGTGAGTGGGTGGGTGAGTGATACAGCAGGTGGTGAGTGGGTGAGTGAGTGGGTGAGTGATACAGCAGGTGGTGAGTGGGTGAGTGAGTGGGTGAGTGATACAGCAGGTGGTGAGCGAGTGGGTGAGTGGGTGGGTGATACAGCAGGTGGTGAGTGAGTGGGTGAGTGATACAGCAGGTGGTGAGTGAGTGGGTGAGTGATACAGCAGGTGGTGAGTGAGTGGGTGAGTGAGTGATACAGCAGGTGGTGAGCGAGCGGGTGAGTGGGTGGGTGATGCAGGTGGTGAGTGGGTGAGTGATATAGCAGGTGGTGAGTGATGCAGGTGGTGAGCGAGTGGGTGAGTGATGCAGCAGGTGGTGAGCGAGTGGGTGAGTGATGCAGCAGGTGGTGAGCGAGTGGGTGAGTGATGCAGCAGGTGGTGAGCGAGTGGGTGAGTGATACAGGCGGTGAGTGATACAGCAGGTGGTGAGTGATGCAGCAGGTGGTGAGTGGGTGAGTGATGCAGCAGGTGGTGAGTGATACAGCAGGTGGTGAGTGATACAGGCGGTGAGTGTGCGTGTGATGCGGGCGGTGCCGGTGGGGTGAACTCCGCACCTCCTCTCCCAACGCGTCCGGTCTGCAGCGTGGAAGAGGAGGCCAAAGTACGCCTCCTCTAGGCTGGCCTGCAGTGGGGGAGGATGAGGCCTACGTGAGGCTGTTTTTGCAGTGAGGGAGGATGAGGCCTACGTGAGGCTGTTTTTGCAGTGAGGGAGGATGAGGCCTACGTGAGGATGAGGCCTACGTGAGGCTGTTTTTGCAGTGGGGGAGGATGAGGCCTACGTGAGGCTGTTTTTTGCAGTGGGTGAGGATGAGGCCTACGTGAGGCTGTTTTTTTGCAGTGAGGGAGGATGAGGCCTACGTGAGGCTGTTTTTTGCAGTGGGTGAGGATGAGGCCTACGTGAGGCTGTTTTTTGCAGTGGGTGAGGATGAGGCCTACGTGAGGCTGTTTTTTTGCAGTGAGGGAGGATGAGGCCTACGTGAGGCTGTTTTTTGCAGTGGGGGAGGATGAGGCCTACGTGAGGCTGTTTTTGCAGTGAGGGAGGCTGAGGCCTACGTGAGGCTGTTTTTGCAGCGAGGGAGGATGAGGCCTACGTGAGGCTGTTTTTGCAGTGAGGGAGGATGAGGCCTACGTGAGGCTGTTTTTTGCAGCGAGGGAGGATGAGGCCTACGTGAGGCTGTTTTTGCAGCGAGGGAGGATGAGGCCTACGTGAGGCTGTTTTTGCAGTGGGTGAGGACGAGGCCTACGTGAGGCTGTTTTTGCAGCGAGGGAGGATGAGGCCTATGTGAGGCTGTTTTTTGCAGTGGGTGAGGATGAGGCCTACGTGAGGCTGTTTTTGCAGTGAGGGAGGATGAGGCCTACGTGAGGCTGTTTTTGCAGCGAGGGAGGATGAGGCCTATGTGAGGCTGTTTTTGCAGTGGGTGAGGATGAGGCCTACGTGAGGCTGTTTTTGCAGTGAGGGAGGATGAGGCCTACGTGAGGCTGTTTTTCCAGTGAGGGAGGATGAGGCCTATGTGAGGCTGTTTTTGCAGTGGGTGAGGATGAGGCCTACGTGAGGCTGTTTTTGCAGTGAGGGAGGATGAGGCCTACGTGAGGCTGTTTTTGCAGTGGGTGAGGATGAGGCCTACGTGAGGCTGTTTTTGCAGTGAGGGAGGATGAGGCCTACGTGAGGCTGTTTTTACAGTGAGGGAGGATGAGGCCTACGTGAGGCTGTTTTTGCAGCGAGGGAGGATGAGGCCTACGTGAGGCTGTTTTTGCAGTGAGGGAGGATGAGGCCTACGTGAGGCTGTTTTTGCAGTGAGGGAGGATGAGGCCTACGTGAGGCTGTTTTTGCAGTGAGGGAGGATGAGGCCTACGTGAGGCTGTTTTTACAGTGAGGGAGGATGAGGCCTACGTGAGGCTGTTTTTTGCAGCGAGGGAGGATGAGGCCTACGTGAGGCTGTTTTTGCAGTGGGTGAGGATGAGGCCTACGTGAGGCTGTTTTTTGCAGTGAGGGAGGATGAGGCCTACGTGAGGCTGTTTTTTGCGGTGGGGGAGGATGAGGCCTACGTGAGGTTGTTTTTTGCAGTGAGGGAGGATGAGGCCTACGTGAGGCTGTTTTTACAGTGAGGGAGGATGAGGCCTACGTGAGGCTGTTTTTTTGCAGTGGGGGAGGATGAGGCCTACGTGAGGCTGTTTTTTGCAGTGGGTGAGGATGAGGCCTACGTGAGGCTGTTTTTGCAGTGAGGGAGGATGAGGTCTACGTGAGGCTGTTTTTCCCTCTCGTTCCAGTTCATCGACGATCTCATGGCCACCGTCCCGCTCTCGCCCTGCACTGAGGCATCGACATCATCATCGACATCATCTTCGACATCAACGACATCATCGACATCATCATCATCGACATCAACGACATCATCGACATCAACGACATCAGCTGTTGCCCCCAGCGAAGGTGGCCGCCTGGATACCCCTAACAAAGATGGCCGCGTGGACACCCCTAACCAAGATGGTCGCACGGGCACCCCCAACCAAGATGGCCGCCTGGATACCCCCTGCCACGATGGCCGCCGGGACGTCACCCCCGGCCGAGATGGCCGCACGGACGCCCCTGACGAAGATGGCCGCACGGACGCCCCTGACCAACATGGCCGCACGGACGCCCCTGACGAAGATGGCCGCACGGACGCCCCTGACCAACATGGCCGCACGGACACCCCTGACGAAGATGGCCGCACGGACACCCCTGCTGCTGATCCTACTGCTGACGGTGTCCCTGCCGCCACGCCCGCGAGCCACAGCAGCAGGAGGCCGCCGCTGCTGTTCCCAGGTGCCATGGAGGCGCTCCAGAGGCACCAGTGCCTGGAGCAGCTGCGGCGAGCCCTTGGCCTGCACGCGGCGCCGGGGAGGGCGGAGAGGGCGAGGGAGATGGTGCTGAGGTATCGGCACGCGTTGAGATTCGGTGAGACGTGGTGGGTGTGGTGAGTGTGTGTGGTGAGTGTGGTGTGGTGTGTGTGTGTGGTGTGGTGTGTGCGGTGTGTGTGGTGTGTGTGTGGTGTAGTGTGTGTGGTGAGTGTGTGGTGTGTGTGTGTGGTGTGTGTGTGTGGTGTGTGTGTGTGTGTGTGGTGTGTGTGTGGTGTGTGTGTGTGGTGTATGTGTGTGTGTGGTGTTTGTGGTGTGTGTGTGGTGTGTGTGTGGTGTGTGTGTGGTGAGTGTGGTGTGTGTGTGTGTGGTGTGTGTGTGGTGAGTGTGTGGTGTGTGGTGTGTGTGTGTGGTGTGTGTGTGTGGTGAGTGTGTGTGGTGTGTGTGTGGTGAGTGTGTGTGTGGTGTGTGTGTGGTGTGTGTGGTGTGTGTGTGGTGAGTGTGTGGTGTGTGTGTGTAGTGTGTGTGTAGTGTGTGGTGTGTGTGTGGTGTGTGTGTGTGGTGAGTGTGTGTGGTGTGTGTGTGTAGTGTGTGTGGTGTGTGTGTGGTGAGTGTGTGGTGTGTGTGGTGAGTGTGTGTGGTGAGTGTGTGTGTGTGTGGTGTGTGTGGTGTGAGGGTGTGTGGTGTGTGTGTGGTGTGTGTGGTGGGTGTGTGGTGGGTGTGTGGTGTGTGTGTGGTGTGTGTGTGGTGGGTGTGGTGAGTGTGTGTGGTGTCTGTGGTGTGTAGTGTGTGTGTGTGTGGTGTGTGTGTGTGGGGTGTGTGTGTGGTGGGTGTCGTGAGCGTGTGTGGTGTGTGGTGTGTGTGTGGTGTGTGTGTGTGTGTGTGGTGTGTGTGTGGTGTGGTGTGTGTGGTGTGTGTGTGTGTGGTGTGTGTGGTGTGTGGTGTGTGTGGTGTGTGGTGTGTGTGTGGTGTGTGTGTGTAGTGTAGTGTTGTGTGTGTGTGTGTGTGGTGTGTGGTGAGTGTGTGGTGTGTGGTGTGTGGTGTGTGGTGAGTGTGGTGAGTGTGTGGTGTGTGTGTGTGGTGTGTGTGTGTGTGTGGTGTGTGTGTGGTGTGTGTGTGGTGTGTGTGGTGTGTGTGTGTGTGGTGTGTGTGGTGTGTGTGCGGTGTGTGTGTGGTGTGTGTGGTTTGTGTGTGTGGTGAGTGTGTGGTGTGTGTGTGTGGTGTGTGTGGTGTGTGTGTGGTGTGGTGTGTTGTGTGTGTGTGGTGTGTGTGTGGTGTGTAGTGTGTGTGGTGTGTGTGTGGTGTGTGGTGAGTGTGTGTGGTGTGTGTGTGTGGTGTGTGTGGTGAGTGTGGTGTGTGTGTGTGGTGTGTGTGTGGTGTGTGTGGTGTGTGTGGTGAGTGTGTGTGGTGTGTGTGTGTGGTGTAGTGTGGTGTATGTGTGGTGTGTGTGTGTGGTGTAGTGTGGTGTGTGTGTGGTGTGTGTGTGGTGTGTGTGTGTGGTGGGTATGTGGTGGGCGTGTGGTGTGTGTGGTGTGTGGTGTGTGTGGTGTGTGTGGTGAGTGTGTGTGGTGTGTGTGTGTGGTGTGTGTGTGTGTGTGGTGTGTGTGTGTGGTGTGTGTGTGGTGGGTGTGTGGTGGGCGTGTGGTGTGTGTGTGGTGTGTGGTGTGTGGTGTGTGTGGTGAGTGTGTGTGGTGTGTGTGTGTGGTGAGTGTGTGTGGTGTGTGTGGTGAGTGTGTGTGGTGTGTGTGTGTGGTGTAGTGTGGTGTGTGTGTGGTGTGTGTGTGTGGTGGGTGTGTGGTGGGCGTGTGGTGTGTGTGTGGTGTGACACAGTGAGTGAGTGACACAGTGAGTGACACAGTGAGTGACACTGTGTGAGTGACACAGCGAGTAAGTGACACAGTGAGTGTGACAGCGAGTGGCACAGTAAGTGACACAGCGAGTGAGTGACAGTGAGTGACACAGCGAGCGAGTGACACAGCGAGTGAGTGACACAGTGAGTGACACAGTGAGTGACACAGTGAGTGAGTGACACAGCGAGTGAGTGACACAGTGAGTGACACAGTGAGTGACACAGCGAGTGAGTGACAGTGAGTGACACAGTGAGTGAGTGACACAGTGAGTGACACAGTGAGTGACACAGTGAGTGAGTGACACAGCGAGTGACACAGTGAGTGGCACAGTGAGTGACACAGTGAGTGACACAGCGAGTGACACAGTGAGTGGCACAGTGAGTGACACAGTGAGTGACACAGTGAGTGACACAGCGAGTGTGTGACACAGTGAGTGACACAGTGAGTGACACAGTGAGTGAGTTACACAGCGAGTGAGTTACACAGCGAGTGAGTGACACAGTAAGTGACACAGTGACACAGTGAGTGACACAGTGAGTGACACAGTGACACAGTGAGTGACACAGTGAGTGAGTGACACAGTGAGTGAGTGACACAGTGAGTGACACAGTGAGTGACACAGTGAGTGAGTGACACAGTGAGTGAGTGACACAGTGAGTGACACAGTGAGTGACACAGTGAGTGACACAGTGACACAGTGAGTGACACAGTGAGTGACACAGTGAGTGACACAGTGACACAGTGAGTGACACAGCGAGTGAGTTACACAGCGAGTGAGTTACACAGTGAGTGACACAGTGAGTGACACAGTGAGTGACACAGTGACACAGTGAGTGACACACTGAGTGACACAGCGAGTGACACAGCGAGTGTGACACAGTGACACAGCGAGTGACACAGTGAGTGACACAGTGAGTGACACAGTGACACAGTGAGTGACACAGTGAGTGACACAGTGAGTGACACAGTGACACAGCGAGTGACACAGTGAGTGACACAGCGAGTGAGTGACACAGTGACACAGTGAGTGACACAGTGAGTGAGTGACACAGTGAGTGAGTGACACAGTGAGTGACACAGTGAGTGAGTGACACAGTGAGTGAGTGGCACAGTGAGTGACACAGTGACACAGTGAGTGACACAGTGAGTGACACAGTGAGTGAGTGACACAGTGAATGACACAGTGAGTGACACAGTGACACAGTGAGTGACACAGTGAGTGACACAGTGACACAGTGAGTGACACAGTGACACAGTGAGTGACACAGTGAGTGACACAGTGACACAGTGAGTGACACAGTGAGTGACACAGTGAGTGAGTTACACAGCGAGTGAGTGACACAGTGAGTGACACAGTGAGTGACACAGCGAGTGAGTGACACAGCGAGTGACACAGTGAGTGACACAGTGAGTGACACAGTGAGTGACACAGCGAGTGAGTGACACAGTGAGTGACACAGTGAGTGACACAGTGACACGGTGAGTGACAGTGAGTGACACGGTGAGTGACACAGCGAGTGACACAGCGAGTGACACAGTGAGTGACACAGTGAGTTACACAGCGAGTGAGTGACACAGTGAGTGACACAGTGAGTGACACAGTGACACAGTGAGTGACACAGTGAGTGCCACAGTGAGTGACACAGTGACACAGTGAGTGACACAGTGAGTGACACAGTGAGTGACACAGTGACACTGAGTGACACAGTGAGTGACACAGTGACACAGTGAGTGACACAGTGAGTGACACAGTGAGTGACACAGTGACACAGTGAGTGACACAGTGAGTGACACAGTGACACAGTGAGTGACACAGTGACACAGTGAGTGACACAGTGAGTGACACAGTGACACAGTGAGTGACACAGTGACACAGTGAGTGACACAGTGAGTGACACAGTGACACAGTGAGTGACACAGTGAGTGACACAGTGAGTGACACAGTGACACAGTGAGTGACACGGTGAGTGACACGGTGAGTGACACGGGGGTGTTGTGTGCTCCAGGTGAACGCTGCTTGAAGACTGAACTACAGCCGGCCGACCCGTACTGCCTCCTGGCAGCTCACCTGCTGCTGGACGCACAGCCACCCTGCACAGGTGTGGGTGTAACACGTGGTGTGTGTGTGTGTAACACGTGGTGTGTGTGTGTGTGTAACACGTGGTGTGTGTGTGTGTAACACGTGGTGTGTGTGTGTGTAACACGTGGTGTGTGTGTGTGTAACGCGTGGTGTGTGTGTGTGTAACACGTGGTGTGTGTGTGTGTAACACGTGGTGTGTGTGTGTGTAACACGTGGTGTGTGTGTGTAACACGTGGTGTGTGTGTGTGTAACACATGGTGTGTGTGTGTGTAACACGTGGTGTGTGTGTGTGTAACACGTGGTGTGTGTGTGTAACACGTGGTGTGTAACACGTGGTGTGTGTGTGTAACACGTGGTGTGTGTGTAACACGTGGTGTGTGTGTAACACGTGGTGTGTGTGTGTGTAACACGTGGTGTGTGTGTAACACGTGGTGTGTGTGTAACACGTGGTGTGTAACACGTGGTGTGTGTGTGTGTGTAACACGTGGTGTGTAACACGTGGTGTGTAACACGTGGTGTGTGTGTGTGTAACACGTGGTGTGTGTGTGTGTGTAACACGTGGTGTGTAACACGTGGTGTGTGTGTGTGTGTAACACGTGGTGTGTGTGTGTGTGTAACACGTGGTGTGTGTGTGTGTGTAACACGTGGTGTGTGTGTGTAACACGTGGTGTGTGTGTGTGTGTAACACGTGGTGTGTAACACGTGGTGTGTGTGTAACACGTGGTGTGTAACACGTGGTGTGTGTGTAACACGTGGTGTGTGTGTAACACGTGGTGTGTGTGTGTAACACGTGGTGTGTGTGTGTAACACGTGGTGTGTAACACGTGGTGTGTAACACGTGGTGTGTAACACGTGGTGTGTAACACGTGGTGTGTGTGTGTAACACGTGGTGTGTAACACGTGGTGTGTAACACGTGGTGTGTAACACGTGGTGTGTGTGTAACACGTGGTGTGTAACACGTGGTGTGTGTGTAACACGTGGTGTGTAACACGTGGTGTGTGTGTAACACGAGGTGTGTAACACGTGGTGTGTGTGTGTGTGTAACACGTGGTGTGTAACACGTGGTGTGTGTGTGTGTAACACGTGGTGTGTGTGTGTGTAACACGTGGTGTGTAACACGTGGTGTGTAACACGTGGTGTGTGTGTAACACGTGGTGTGTGTAACACGTGGTGTGTGTGTAACACGTGGTGTGTGTAACACGTGGTGTGTGTGTAACACGTGGTGTGTGTGTAACACGTGGTGTGTGTGTGTAACACGTGGTGTGTGTGTGTGTAACACGTGTGTGTGTGTGTAACACGTGTGTGTGTGTGTGTATCACGTGGTGTGTGTAACACGTGTGTGTGTGTAACACGTGGTGTGTGTGTGTGTATCACGTGGTGTGTGTAACACGTGTGTGTGTGTAACACGTGGTGTGTGTGTGTGTGTAACACGTGGTGTGTGTGTGTGTAACACGTGGTGTGTAACACGTGGTGTGTGTGTGTGTGTGTGTAACACGTGGTGTGTGTGTGTGTGTAACACGTGGTGTGTGTAACACGTGGTGTGCAACACGTGGTGTGTAACACGTGGTGTGTAACACGTGGTGTGTAACACGTGTGTGTGTGTGTGTAACACGTGGTGTGTGTGTGTAACACGTGTGTGTGTGTGTAACACGTGGTGTGTGTGTGTGTAACACGTGGTGTGTAACACGTGGTGTGTGTGTGTAACACGTGGTGTGTATGTGTGTAACACGTGGTGTGTAACACGTGGTGTGTAACACGTGGTGTGTGTGTGTGTAACACGTGGTGTGTAACACGTGGTGTGTGTGTGTGTAACACGTGGTGTGTGTGTGTAACACGTGGTGTGTGTGTGTGTGTGTAACACGTGGTGTGTGTGTGTGTGTAACACGTGGTGTGTAACACGTGGTGTGTGTAACACGTGGTGTGTAACACGTGGTGTGTAACACGTGGTGTGTGTGTGTGTGTAACACGTGTGTGTGTGTGTGTAACACGTGGTGTGTGTGTGTGTAACACGTGGTGTGTGTGTGTAACACGTGGTGTGTGTGTGTAACACGTGGTGTGTAACACGTGGTGTGTGTGTAACACGTGGTGTGTGTGTAACACGTGGTGTGTGTGTAACACGTGGTGTGTAACACGTGGTGTGTGTGTGTAACACGTGGTGTGTAACACGTGGTGTGTGTGTGTGTGTGTAACACGTGGTGTGTAACACGTGGTGTGTGTGTGTGTGTAACACGTGGTGTGTAACACGTGGTGTGTGTGTGTGTAACACGTGGTGTGTGTGTGTGTGTAACACGTGGTGTGTGTGTGTGTGTAACACGTGGTGTGTGTGTAACACGTGGTGTGTGTGTGTGTGTAACACGTGGTGTGTGTGTGTGTGTAACACGTGGTGTGTGTGTAACACGTGGTGTGTGTGTGTGTGTGTAACACGTGGTGTGTGTGTAACACGTGGTGTGTGTGTGTGTAACACGTGGTGTGTGTGTAACACGTGGTGTGTGTGTGTAACACGTGGTGTGTAACACGTGGTGTGTGTGTAACACGTGGTGTGTAACACGTGGTGTGTGTGTGTGTGTAACACGTGGTGTGTGTGTGTGTAACACGTGGTGTGTAACACGTGGTGTGTAACACGTGGTGTGTAACACGTGGTGTGTAACACGTGGTGTGTAACACGTGGTGTGTAACACGTGGTGTGTGTAACACGTGGTGTGTGTGTAACACGTGGTGTGTGTGTGTAACACGTGGTGTGTGTGTGTGTGTAACACGTGTGTGTGTGTGTGTGTGTGTAACACGTGTGTGTGTGTGTGTATCACGTGGTGTGTGTAACACGTGTGTGTGTGTAACACGTGGTGTGTGTGTGTGTATCACGTGGTGTGTGTAACACGTGTATGTGTGTAACACGTGGTGTGTGTGTGTGTGTAACACGTGGTGTGTGTGTGTAACACGTGGTGTGTAACACGTGGTGTGTGTGTGTGTGTGTAACACGTGGTGTGTGTGTGTGTGTAACACGTGGTGTGCAACACGTGGTGTGTAACACGTGGTGTGTAACACGTGTGTGTGTGTAACACGTGGTGTGTGTGTGTAACACGTGGTGTGTGTGTGTAACACGTGGTGTGTAACACGTGGTGTGTGTGTGTAACACGTGGTGTGTGTGTGTAACACGTGGTGTGTAACACGTGGTGTGTAACACGTGGTGTGTAACACGTGGTGTGTGTGTGTGTGTGTAACACGTGGTGTGTAACACGTGGTGTGTGTGTGTGTGTGTAACACGTGGTGTGTAACACGTGATGTGTGTGTGTGTGTAACACGTGGTGTGTGTGTGTGTGTAACACGTCGTGTGTGTGTGTGTGTAACACGTGTGGTGTGTGTGTGTGTAACACGTGTGGTGTGTGTGTGTGTGTGTAACACGTGGTGTGTGTGTGTGTGTGTAACACGTGGTGTGTGTGTAACACGTGTGTGTGTAACAAGTGTGTGTGTGTAACACGTGTGTGTGTGTGTAACACGTGTGTGTGTGTAACACGTGTGTGTGTGTGTAACACGTGGTGTTTAACACGTGGTGTGTAACACGTGGTGTGTGTGTGTGTGTAACACGTGTGTGTGTGTGTAACACGTGGTGTGTGTGTGTGTAACACGTGGTGTGTGTGTGTAACACGTGGTGTGTGTGTGTCTGTAACACGTGGTGTGTGTGTAACACGTGGTGTGTGTGTAACACGTGGTGTGTGTGTAACACGTGGTGTGTAACACGTGGTGTGTGTGTGTGTAACACGTGGTGTGTAACACGTGGTGTGTGTGTGTGTAACACGTGGTGTGTAACACGTGGTGTGTGTGTGTGTGTAACACGTGGTGTGTAACACGTGGTGTGTGTGTGTGTGTGTAACACGTGGTGTGTGTGTGTAACACGTGGTGTGTGTGTAACACGTGGTGTGTGTGTGTGTAACACGTGGTGTGTGTGTGTAACACGTGGTGTGTGTAACACGTGGTGTGTGTGTGTGTAACACGTGTGTGTGTGTGTGTAACACGTGGTGTGTGTGTGTGTAACACGTGGTGTGTGTGTGTAACACGTGGTGTGTGTGTAACACGTGGTGTGTGTGTAACACATGGTGTGTGTGTGTAACACGTGGTGTGTGTAACACGTGGTGTGTGTGTGTGTAACACGTGTGTGTGTGTGTAACACGTGGTGTGTGTGTAACACGTGGTGTGTAACACGTGGTGTGTGTGTAACACGTGGTGTGTAACACGTGGTGTGTGTGTGTGTAACACGTGGTGTGTAACACGTGGTGTGTGTGTGTGTGTGTAACACGTGGTGTGTAACACGTGGTGTGTGTGTGTGTAACACGTGGTGTGTAACACGTGGTGTGTGTGTGTGTGTGTAACACGTGGTGTGTAACACGTGGTGTGTGTGTGTGTAACACGTGGTGTGTGTGTGTGTGTAACACGTGGTGTGTGTGTAACACGTGGTGTGTGTGTGTGTGTGTAACACGTGTGTGTGTGTGTGTAACACGTGGTGTGTGTGTGTGTAACACGTGGTGTGTGTGTAACACGTGGTGTGTGTGTGTGTAACACGTGGTGTGTGTGTAACACGTGGTGTGTGTGTGTAACGCGTGGTGTGTGTAACACGTGGTGTGTGTGTGTGTAACACGTGTGTGTGTGTGTCTAACACGTGGTGTGTGTGTGTGTAACACGTGGTGTGTGTGTGTAACACGTGTTGTGTGTGTGTGTGTGTAACACGTGGTGTGTGTGTAACACGTGGTGTGTGTGTGTGTGTGTAACACGTGGTGTGTGTGTAACACATGGTGTGTGTGTGTAACACGTGGTGTGTGTAACACGTGGTGTGTGTGTGTGTAACACGTGTGTGTGTGTGTGTAACACGTGGTGTGTGTGTGTGTAACACGTGGTGTGTGTGTGTAACACGTGTGTGTGTGTGTAACACGTGGTGTGTGTGTGTAACACGTGGTGTGTAACACGTGGTGTGTGTGTGTAACACGTGGTGTGTATGTGTGTAACACGTGGTGTGTAACACGTGGTGT